CATTCATACATGGAAGAAGGTTGGAACAACCAAGATTCTTCCTAGAGCTGGCTGCCCGGCTAAACTGAGAAATCGTGAGAGAAGGGCCTTGGTCAGGGAGGTGACCAAGAACCTGATGGTCACTCTGACAGAGCTCCAGAGTTCCTCTGTGGAGATGGGAGAACCTTCCAGAAGGACAACCATCTCTGCAGCACTCCACCCCAATCAGGCATTTATGGTAGAGTGGCCAGACAGAAGCCACTCCTCAGTAAAAGGCACATGACAGCCCGCCTGGAGTTTGCCAACAGGCACCTAAAGACTCTCAGACCATGAGAAACATGATTGTCTGGTCTGATGAAACCAAGATTGAACTCTTTGGCCTGAATGCCAAGCGCCACGTCTGGAGGAAACCTGGCACCATCCCTACGGTGAAGCATGGTGGTGGCAGCATCATGCTGTGGGGATGTTTTTCAGCGGCAGGGACTGGGAGACTAGTCAGGATCGAGGGAAAGATGAACGGCGCAAAGTACAGAGAGATCTGCTCCAGAGCGCTCAGGACCTCAGACTGGGGCGAAGGTTCACCTTCCAACAGGACAACGACCCTAAGCCCACAGCCAACACAACGTAGGAGTGGCTTCGGGATAAGTCTCTAAATGTCCTTGAGTGGCCCAGCCAGAGCCCGGCATGGAGAGACCTGTGCAGCGACGCACCCCATCCAACCTGACAGAGCTTGAGAGGACCTACAGAGAAGAATTGGAGAAACTCCCCAAATACAGGTGTCCCAAGCTTGTAGCGTCATACCCAAGAAGACTCAAAGCTGTCATCGCTGCCAAAGGTGATTCAACAAAGTACTGAGTAAAGGGTCTGAATACTTATGTAAATGTGATATTTCTGTTTTAAATGTTTAATACATTTGCTAAAATTTCCAAAAAAGCTGTTTTTGCTTTGTCATTATGGGGTATTGGTAGTAGATTGATGAGGGGAAAAACGATTTAATCAATTTTAGAATAAGGCTGTAACGTAACAAATTGTGGAAAAAGTCAAGGAGTCTGAATACTTGCTGAATGCACTGTATATAATTTATACATTGTTTCCCTTATTGTTAGAATGCGTGATTAATGTTGTGTGGTGTATATGTTTATTCTCAGTCATTCCAAAACCACTGCCATGACACTGATCAATGCAAGTATGTGAAGAAGAGTGTGTATGTACAGTGGCTTGCCAAAGTATTCACCCCCCTTGGCATTTTTCCTATTTTGTTGCCTTACAACATGGAATTAAAATAGATTTTGGGGGGGGGTCTGTATCATTTGATTTACACAACATGCCTACCACTTTGAAGATGCAAAATATTTCTTTGTGTGAAACAAACAAGAAATAACACAGAAAAACAGAAAACTGGAGCGTGCATAACTATTCACCCCCTCATAGTCAATACTTTGTAGAGCCACCTTTTGCAGCAATTACAGCTGCAAGTCTCTTGGGGTATGTCTCTATAAACTTGCCACATCTAGCCACTGGGATTTTTGCCCATTCTTCAAGGCAAAACTGCTCCAGCTCCTTTAAGTTGGATGGGTTCCGCTGGTATACAGCAATCTTTAAGTCATACCACAGATTCTCAATTGGATTGAGGTCTGGCCTTTGACTAGGCCATTCCAAGACATTTAAATGTTTCCCCTTAAACCACTCGAGTGTTGCTTTAGCAGTATGCTTAGGGTCATTGTCCTGCTGGAAGGTGAACCTCTGTCCCAGTCTCAAATCTCTGGAAGACTGAAACTGGTTTCCCTCAAGAATTTCCCTGTATTTAGCACCATCCATTATTCCTTCATTTCTGACCAGTTTCCCAGTCCCTGCCAATGAAAAACATCCCCACAGCATGATGCTGCCACCACCATGCTTCATTGTGGGGATCGTGTTCTCGGGGTGATGAGAGGTGTTGTGTTTGCGCCAGACATAGCGTTTTCCTTGATGGCCAAAAAGCTCAATTTTAGTCTCATCTGACCAGAGTGCCTTCTTCCATATGTTTGGGGAGTCTCCCACATGCCTTTTGGCGAACACCAAACGTGTTTGCTTATTTTTTTCTTTAAGCAATGGCTTTTTTCTCTTCCGTAAAGCCCAGCTCTGTGGAGTGTATGGCTTAAAGTGGTCCTATGGACAGATACTCCAATCTCCGCTGTGGAGCTTTGCAGCTCCTTCAGGGTTATCTTTGGTCTCTTTGTTTCCTCTCTGACTAATGCCCTCCTTGCCTGGTCCGTGAGTTGTGGTGGGCGGCCCTCTCTTGGCAGGTTTGTTGTGGTGCCATATTCTTTCCATTTTTTCCGTTATTACTTTTTTTGAAACAAGTAATTTATTTCAAGACTATTTTGTCTATGTCCATTACATGAAATCCAAATAAAAATCAATTTAAATTACAGGTTGTAATGCAACAAAATAGGAAAAACGCCAAGGGGGATGATTACTTTTGCAAGGCACTGTATATACACTGCTCAAAAAGATAAAGGGAACAATTAAACAACACAATGTAACTCCAAGTCAATCACACTTCTGTGAAATCAAACTGTCCACTTAGGAAGCAACACTGATTGACAATAAATGTCACATGCTGTTGTGCAAATGGAATAGACAACAGGTGGAAAATATAGGCAATTAGCAAGACACCCCCAATAAAGGAGTGGTTTTACAGTTGGTGACCACAGACCACTTCTCAGTTCCTATGCTTCCTGGCTGATGTTTTGGTCACTTTTGAATGCTGGCGGTGCTTTCACTCTAGTGGTAGCATGAGACTGAGTCTACAACCCACACAAGTGGCTCAGGTAGTGCAGCTCATCCAGTATGGCACATCAATGCGAGCTGTGGCAAGAAGGTTTTCTGTGTCTGTCAGCGTAGTGTCCAGAGCATGGAGGCGCTACCAGGAGACAGGCCAGTACATCGGGAGACGTGGAGGAGGCCGTAGGAGGGCAACAACCCAGCAGCAGGACTGCTACCGCCGCCTTTGTGCAAGGAGGAGCAGGAGGAGCACTGCCAGAGCCCTGCAAAATGACCTCCAGCAGGCCACAAATGTGCATGTGTCTGCTCAAACGGTCAGAAACAGACTCCATGAAGGTGGTATGAGGGCCCGACGTCCACAGGTGGGGGTTGTGCTTACAGCCCAACACCGTGCAGGACGTTTGGCATTTGCCAGAGAACACCAAGATTGGCAAATTCGCCACTGGCGCCCTGTGCTCTTCACAGATGAAAGCAGGTTCACACTGAGCACATGTGACAGACGTGACAGAGTCTGGAGACGCCGTGGAGAACGTTCTGCTGCCTGCAACATCCTCCAGCATGACCGGTTTGGCGGTGGGTCAGTCATGGTGTGGGGTGGCATTTCTTTGGGGGGGCCGCACAGCCCACCATGTGCTCGCCAGAGGTAGCCTGACTGCCATTAGGTACCGAGATGAGATCCTCAGACCCCTTGTGAGACCATATGCTGGTGCGGTTGGCCCTGGGTTCCTCCTAATGCAAGACAATGCTAGACCTCATGTGGCTGGAGTGTGTCAGCAGTTCCTGCAAGAGGAAGGCATTGATGCTATGGACTGGCCCGCCCGTTCCCCAGACCTGAATCCAATTGAGCACATCTGGGACATCATGTCTCACTCCATCCACCAACGCCACGTTGCACCACAGACTGTCCAGGAGTTGGCGGATGCTTTAGTCCAGGACTGGGAGGAGATCCATCAGGAGACCATCCGCCACCTCATCAGGAGCATGCCCAGGCATTGTAGGGAGGTCATACAGGCACGTGGAGGCCACACACACTACTGAGCCTCATTTTGACTTGTTTTAAGGACATTACATCAAAGTTGGATCAGCCTGTAGTGTGGTTTTCCACTTTAATTTTGAGGGTGACTCCAAATCCAGACCTCCATGGGTTGATACATTTGATTTCCATTGATCATTTTTGTGTGATTTTGTTGTCAGCACATTCAACTATGTAAAGAAAAAAGTATTTAATAAGATTATTTCATTCATTCAGATCTAGGATGTGTTATTTTAGTGTTCCCTTAATTTTTTTGAGCAGTGTATATGTGTGTGTGTGTGTGTATTTCAGATAGTGAGACTTGAACTGTTTCCTCAGATTAAATTAAGATGTCATGAGAAAATTGATCAGGTACATCATAAGAATCCATTATAATTTAATTACAGTATTATCATACATATAAATCCATGTCGGCTGAATTATTCTTTCTTTGATAGGAAATAGTTTATTCATAAAATAATACAGGTAATCATTGCTGATGACAAATATGGGCAGCGTGACTTTCAGATAAAAAAATGAATGTTGATTTTCTGTTACTGCAAACAAGATGAGGGTTTACTTGAATCGAACACTAAGAGGTGTGTACCACAAACAGTCTACTGGCTATGTTACATTCAGATTGTGTTTTATATAGATGTAATTGTGTTTTAGATGGCTGATTCTCACAGCTGGTTGGGGATGTTCATCAGAACACCTATGTGGTAGAAGAAAACACCTCGGCCCAACATATTTTTAGTAACTTTCCATTTGTTTATACTATCAACTTTTCCATAGCCAGATGAGCAGATGTAGGAGTAGATAAATAATGGTAATGGGAATCTGGTTAATGTATACCAATTATGACATTGTTTTATCTGTAGCATATCTTGAAAATGTAAGATGAAGAAAGTTTGAATGGTATGGAAATTCTATTTGCTTTTGGATATACTTGGTATAACATTGGACCCTTCTCCACCAACGTCAAAGCTTTGTTCACCAAGTAAAATAAACTGATCTTATTAGTATTTTGGGAACAGTAGTTTTAACTAGCCTGGGTACCAGTCTGTTTGTGCTATCATTCCACTCCTTGACATGGCGTAGAATGATAGCACAAACAGGCTAGTTCCAAAGCAGTTATTCTTTAGGTATGAAGCTATTGGCACGATGCTTTATTGCTTTGCTACATGATTGTGCAACCTTGCCATCTCCATTACTGATTAAATAAAAATAAAATGACAAATAAAAATTCACTAACAAAAGCATTTGCTAAACCTGGACTATAATTGAGTAATGCAAAATTCAAGGCGTTGTTAGTGAAACCAAGTTAGGATGTGCAAACCAAGGTAGGAGAGACATAAATAGCAAGTGGCCTTAACTCAGCAGGTTGGCTAATTTCTGGGAATCAGTGAGTGCAAGGAATGTAAAATGTATTCATTAAATACAGCTAGTATAAAATGTTACATGAATTGAATCATTTTGTGATTAAATCTATTTAACTGCTGAGTTGTTTCTCAGTGTTCTGTCAGGGAACATGTGCCCAAAGCAAACAGGGATTGTCCTGGTAAAATAAGTAGACAAGATGTCACTCATCACATTTTAAATGTATTTGTAATTACAATGGTGTCAAGAGTATGCACCAAATGTCACATTGATCCATAATTACAAACAAAATGAATGTATTCAATTAACAAGTATATACATAAACATGGGCGTGGTGACAAACAGCACACTAGGAGTCAATCAATTACACAAAAAGAAAACGTTTGTTTTCCATTTATACTTTTGTCTTGGGACATGAAACTAAAACTCATCCTATTCCAGAGACCACTGTCTTTAAAAGTTTCCAGAGAGAAAGTCCTGGTTTGTGAAAAGGACTTGCTCTATTCTACTTGTTGGCAGTTCTATTCGCTTTTTAACTTCTTGCTGTCATTCCCGTTCTTCTCTGGGACAATCTCTTCAGGCTTTCTCTTATTGGTGCCGTCGGCCATGCTGTTGCCAGGGTGAGCGCCGAATGTGATGATGATGCAGGTCATGTTGTCACAGCCTGTACCATCTCCAGATGTATCAGGTGCCAGGCAATGGTCAAGTAGCTACAGAGACCAAATAAACAGTTAGAGCTAGTTCATTGTTAAAGAATGAGAAATGTCATGCTTACAGGAGAGTGATGGATAAAAAAATCTTACCTCTTCAACAATGGAGGACAGACGCCTGGCAACACCACTGGCATTAGGCTTTATTTTCTGACTGACAAAGTCCACAACATCCTGACTGCTCATGACGTTCCTGTGGATGACACTCATTAAGGAGGAATTCAGCATTGGCTCCATTTCACAAATTGATTGAGGTATGGCCTAATTTAAGAGAAAACGCTACTATCAAACAAGCTGTACCAGATTCCGTCGCATGCAATGACCATGAAGTCGTGCTCCGGGTTGAGGGTGAGTACTTTGACGTCGGGCATTGAGGAGATCATCTGCTCCTCTGGGCCAAGGGCCTTGTTTCGTTTGTAAAAGTGATCACCTGAAAACACAACAAAGGCCATTCTGTTATATCCTTTGAATCTGATGCCCATTCTTCAACAGCAAGGCGATTCTTTACTAGAAACTATGCCTGATACTTCAATCGAAACACCAATGCCAGGGCTTGGATATGCAGGAGGAGGATCCATTTACCGATGGCCCTGGAGAGGTTGAGTCCTCCGTTGACACGGCCGTCCATGGTGACCTTTCCCCCAGCATTCTTTATCCTGGCCAGCTCCAGCTCATCCTCTGGCTTGTGGTCGTAGGACATGTCTATGGCCTTGCCCTTCTCAGACACCACACAGCGGGAGTCCCCGGCGTTTGCCACGATCAGCTGTTTCCCTCTGATCAGAGCCACCACCGCTGTAGTGCCACTGTCTGAGCCAGGCTGTGGGGGGGTAGAGAAACAGTGAGCTCTTATTGGAGAATAGCCACCTTCTGTTTAATCCAGGTCATAACAAAGGCAGGATACATTTAGTGAGGCATAAAAAGTTATCACTACTCCAGCTAGACATGAATAGCCCCATTACAACCTTTCAACAACCAGGGCTACTCAGAAATTATTTTAATAAAGGGCTCTCCATTCAGGTTTAGGTTTCCCTTAGGGTTATGGCAGGATCTAAATTAAGCTGTGTATCTACCTCTTCTTTTCCATCCATTCCAGGGTAGCACATCTCCTCCTCCTCATCATCCTCCTCTCCTTCTTCAGTGTCTTCCTCTTCGTCACTGCTTTCACCTTCATCTTCCTCACTGCCATCCTGCAGAATTACATCATTAACCCACATACCATTCTTTCAAAAAAAAAATTACAGCTTTTAGACTTTAATTGTTCAAATCCAGTGGGGGAAATCTGATCCAGCAGAGGTGGCCAACGCTCTTCCCGGAGAGCAGTCCTTCTGCAGGCTTTTGCTCCAATCAGAATCTCACACCTGATTCTACCAATAGCTGCTCACCAGGACAATGATTATCTTAACCAGGTGAGTAAGAACTGTGTTGGCAAAACACCTAATCTTAACCAGGTGAGTGAGAACTGTGTTGGCAAAAGCCTACACACCCAGTAGCTCTTCAAGCGGAGGGTTGGCCACCAGTTACAGTAATTCCTGAAGGCTTCCACCTCACCTCCTCTTCACTGCCCTCATCTTCCTCTTCCCCCGACTCGTCACTGTCCTCAAAGAACTTGGAGCTGGTGTCTCCCGGAGCCGGAGCCGCTGAGGAGGAGCAGGAGGGCCCGGTGTCCTTCTCTCCTTCACAGGACCCTGCTGCTCCTGCCGCTGAAGAGCTGTCCCCTCCTGCTCTCCTGCAGGTCCGCAGCTTGGAGAATCCAGCACTACCAGCTGCACTATCAGCCTTGGCCTTTCTATTGCTGTCCATCTCACCCTCCACTTCTCCATTGATGCCCTTCTCCCCATAGGAATGTGGTTCACCTTCCACAGACTCTTTGTTGCCCTCCGGACAGAGCTTCTTGTGTTTGAGTGCATTGAGGTTCTGTCCGTAGCGGACGAGCAGCTCTTCAATGGTCAAAGTGGCCTCTTCGTGCAAAAGTTCTGCCTCCTCATTGTCCACTAACAGAGGGAAAGGAACATGGGTTTGAATCAGAAATGATTTGTTTTGAATAATGGTTTATGATTCAAGCCACAGGAATGTCAACTACATATGAAACTTGGGCAGTTGCTGGAGTCTACTCACAATCATCTTCTTCAGCCACTTTTTCAGTCGGTGCTTCCTCTTGTGGGCGGCCAGCTATCTGAACAAGCTCTTTGATCACTTCCTCTGTGGTCACCCTGCTATCAATGGCCAGAAATGCATCCTCCAAAGCCTGAAACACATCGACATGCATCCACCCACGTAAGATAATGTATGCTCCTACGGAGGAGAGTTTGACAAAGACCACAAGATCTACAACCAAAGTTGGTAGGTACTCACTTCTAATATCATTTAAAAGATGCAATATGCAGAACTTGCTCCACCATTTCTTAGTTGCTTAAATTCTAATAGTTTGCCTAATTTCAGTTTGTGACAAAACAAGCAGTCATTGTGTAGAGAATCATTGTACCATCTAAACCGCTGTGAAATATATTTTCCATAACCAAAAATATTGTATTTTCAGCTGGTGGACAAGAAGCAAAAACTAAAGATAACGGGAAGCATAGAAATAGCTCACATAGAACATATGTGTCTCCCGAGTGGCACAGTGGTCTAAGGCACTGCATCGCAGTGCTAGCTGTGCCACTAGAGATCCTGGTTCGAATCCAGGCTCTGTCGTAGCCGGCCACAACCGGGAGACCAATGGTGCAGCGCACAATTGGCCCAGCGTCGTCTAGGGTAGGGAATGGCCGGCAGGGAGGTACCTCAGCTGTTAGAGCATGGCGTTTGCAACGCCAGGGTTGTGGGTTCGATTCCCACGGGGGGCCAGTATAAAAAATAAATAAAAAATGTATGCACTAACTGTAAGTCGCTCTGGATAAGAGCGTCTGCTAAATGACGTAAATGTAAATATACCATATAAAAGGTACATAGTAGCTTTAAGGGTGCCCAGTAGCCATTACTTACTGGTAGGCCTGTTTAATTATCTTACATATGCAACAAGTCCAACTACCCATGTCAAAAGGATTCCTTTCCCTAGCCCATATGCATTCTTCCACTCACCTTTTGCAGTTTGCTATCTTTGTAAGCCTTTTGTTCTTTAATGATATCAGGAAGGTACTTGGAACAATACAATGCAACTTCCTCACCTGTGATGACAAAAGCATTTAAAGTCTTGATTACTTAAATTAAAGCAACTAGCTTAATAGTCTCCAGTATTAACAAAAAAAACAAGTTCAAGGTATTCTCAAAAAAGTTAATCTTAGGGATAATAAGAATACACAGTACCTCCATGTCCATCATACACAGCAAACATGGCCGTTTCATCATCCAGTTCTGGAATGCAGTTGTGAGCATCCTGTCGCAAGAAACAAAGACATGTTACTCTCATGGAATGCCATTTCTTTGAGCCTTCCACTACAGTAGCTACATCTAATAAATCACTAATTAGACAAGTGCCATTTGAATGTGAAAATGTAATGGGATGCATTTGCGTTTTGGATGGCACCGTCTAAATTGTATGCACATTTTACAGATTGTGGCTTTAAAGGGTAACGTAAAAAACCTCATGTTGCTTGGAATCTCCATAACAGTACATGTAGGAAAGTTAGCTACATAGCTAGCTAGTTAACTTCGAAGCTAGCTAACAATTTACCTACCCAGCTAACGTTAGCTACAAACAAAGTCTCCCTGCGCAACAAAGTTAACTTAGTGTTGACTTAAATAACTATGCCACATTAATGGTTGGAATCATATAGCTAGTTTGCTAAGATGACACATTTTATAAAGTTATAACGACTACCCAGCCCTTACAGCTTTTTATTGATGTCTAAACCAAACCATATCCTTAGCATTCTTGTTAGGTGGTAATTAGACAACATTGGCAAAGAATTACTGCTGAATCCAATCCAACGAGCAATATTTTTTAGATCATCTTACCTCCATAGAGACACGCCAGCCCTGCATGGCCGCAAAGCCGTAGCTCATCTTTTGGTTTCCACCATTGGAAGAGGACTTCACTGTGTTGGGTTGCGACAGGTAAGCTCCCATGATGTAGATACCAACAAACAGTGGGTTTCAATCTGGTTGGTGTTGGAAAATCCGATTTAACGTTAGCAGGACAAAAACAAGGTGATAAATTAAATTACACATATGCTCCAACTTCACCTTACAGTTCCTTATATCTCATGCAGTGTCGTATAAACATTGCAATTTTGTGGCAAAAGGCTTCCTACCTAGACTGTTTATTGATAGCCTAGCCAACGTTAGCTAACAAACGAACATAGCTAGCTACAGTTCTTACTCGCAAACTAGCCATTTCCTTTAAAGAGAAGGCAAATGGGAACCTTCAAACACCATCAACCGGAATAGTATAGTTGCTATCAAAGCAGTTCTGGCCTAAAAGTGAGTCCCAATAATAACATTTTACGGGAAAATAACAGCACGTGTAACTGCAAACATTAACAACATAGCTAGCCAGCTATGAGCATACCTCTCAAAAAGAACCGGAGACATAAAGGAAGCGGAAACGCTGTGACGATTGAGAAGTACGCATGCCTATTTGTGAGCAGGGGCGTTCAGAAAGAGTCCGTTCAGAAAGTGCGCCAAAACTTTAGATGCAATGAACGTGGATGTCCATGAGGTGTCGCCAAAGCCACCGATTCTAGTGTGGCCAACAAACGTTGCAGTGGATCCCTATTTCCTTTCCACATCTCTTTTCCTTTTAACGTAAAAGTTATTTAATCAGTAGACATGAAATAGAGGCTAAATACCCAATCAGTGGTGTAGTATTTTTCAGTGGGCATTGTGTATAGGCCTACTCACTTCTTTATCCCCATGATGCATATCAAAGTAGTGTAGTGGATGTAGGCTATACGCCATATTAATTAATCAGTCAGTGCCCGGTGTCTCGATAGTATGGAATTTAGGCTTACGAGTGTTAACGCTACATATTTCCTACAACAGCCGAAGATGTAGCCCTGACATGCATTTCCCAAAACACCACACAAAAACAAAGTTTGCTAAGTGCGTAGTTGGAGCATGTGTCGATAGGCCTACTGACAGGATCGAAAGAAAGGCTCTCAGATCAGATTTCTCCATTAAAATCTTACCTTAACATTATAATTATTTCACAATACTGACGACGGATCAGCTCCTAGAGAGATATTACCACCTATAGCTGCAAATACTGAGGCTGCTTATTATAATGCTTATCCAATGAAAATGTACAAAATCACTGATTTGACAAATCATTGCGCACATGTTAGGCTACACGTCATGAAATATATTGAGACAAATTTCAGATATTAGCTTACAAGCAGGGGCGGCCTGTTCAATAGGGCGATATGGGCGACGCACTGCCAAACGGGAAAAGGAAGGGATTTTTTTTCTAATCAATTATATCACGGCAACAGTAGTTATCAGTGTTGTAATCTATACGTCTGATCTGCCACAGTGCCACACTGCCACTAAATGTCGAATCAGGCTAAAGTCGTGCTTCAAATGGCTCCCCCCCCTTTTGGGGCGATTTCAGTCAGGTTGAAAATCGCCCAGAAGTCTGTAATAGACTCCCATGTAAAATCTATTTTTTTCAAATTTCAGAGCCTTCAATACAATCTCAATGGGTGTCTGTGGGCTTGCACTTACGCGCTTTCGTCATACGTTACGTAACCATGAACGTAACTGAGAAAAGAGTGGATTGTTTGAAAGAAGTTCCTTTTTGTCGGCGAACAAATGGAGATAAATTGGCAACGAAACAATTAGGACCTCCCAGACCAAATTTAATAATTCAACAGGTTTCTACTAAAGGCGGAAAGTCCTACACCCGAGGATTTTCCAAAAATTGGTACGAACGAAAAAAGACATTGCCACTCACTCAACTGGATGACGAGGGATACAGGCTAGCTGTCCGCCGCCACAACGATGAGGTTAGTGTTGATAATCACAAGTTTACTGGATGTGGATATGGTGTAATAAAGGCAGTTTATTCAGAGGTAAATATATCTGGAATCGCGTTCACGGACCCGTTCGTCAAACTCTTAGGGAGCTATAAATTAAGCCCCATTACTTACCATATCAGATAAGAGAAATTGCTGCAGCTACATATATTTTACATCCTGGCCCTACATAGTTCACTATTTGCATCACTTACCAAAATATTACATGTGGTCATATATGCTTGGAAAGTGGAGATGCCATAGAACGTCAAAAAAGTAAACATTGCTGGAGACACATTGCCGTTTTGGAGAAGACATCGCGTTTGCTAGCGAAGAGATTTGTTGTGGCAAATGAACTTGGGCTGGGAATTGCCAGGAACCTCACGATAAGATATATGCATCAGCATTGCGAGTCTCATGATTCTATACGTATTGCGATTCGATACTGTGATTTTATTGCGCACCATATGTCTGTTGCAGAGGGATCAGAAAGCCATGAGAACGAGTTTTGATCAGTCATGGAAATAAAAGTGCTGAAAACAAATTTGCTCCCAATGTGAAAAGATTGAGAACAAGCTATGAAGGAACAATAATGGTGTTTTGGTGCAGGTACAGCCAACTAGCGCTAAAATATTGCGATATTGTCAATACAGTATATCGTAAAGTATCACTATGTAACTCGATTTCTTTCACCCCAATCCCTCAAATTAACGGTAAATAACTGAATTGTTTGCCCCACATTTAGCTAAGATGATTAGCTAGCCAGCTAAAATGTTTTATTTAGTTAGCAGTCGCATCTACAATAGTTTACTGTCAATAACATGTCTCCAAAAATGACGTGGTGTCTCCAATTGTGTTGACATTTTACAATTGCAATGCGCATCCATGAGTATCCACTTTCTGTAGCTCAGCTGGTAGAGCATGGTGCTTGTAACGCCAAGGTAGTGGGTTCGATCCCCGGGACCACCCATACACAAAAATGTATGCACGCATGACTGTAAGTCGCTTTGGATAAAAGCGTCTGCTAAATGGCATATTATTATTATTATTATTATTATTATTATTATTATCTGAAGAGAGCCCCGAAACATTGTGTGCAGACATTTTATGCAATAAATGAAGTAGGTTCAATCTAGTAGTTCTGATCTTCTGATTGGTCCTGATGAGTTGGGCGAGGTCCCCTGCAGGCTACTGTCACTGTTGCATTGGCTCTGAGTCGGGTTCTCTGTCTTCAAATGTTCAGCCTAAGAGAGGGGATTTTTGTGTGTGTGTGTGTGTGTGTGTGTTTAACAGTGATGATGTGTGTGTGTGTGTGTGTTTAACAGTGATGATGTGTGTGTGTGTGTGTTTGTGTGTGTGTGTGTCCTCAGAGCAAGAACTCGTGAGTTGGAAGAACTGAGAGGCCTATGGCGTGGGTGTTGTCCTTGGCCACCTGCTGACAAGGCTGACAAGATAGGACCCTTTTGTCCATTGTTATTGGATAGGAACAGAACTTATAACCAGCTCCTGACCTAAATAGATCTTAGCACAACATTTTACTCAACATATCATATTCCATATTCACTATAACAAATATATTTACTACGACATTAGCAAGAACCGCCACATCCTCAGCCGGCTAATCCAGTGTGTGAAGTTTTGCGGAGTGTTTGAGTTAGCTTTGCGAGGCAAAGATGAAACTGAGGGCTCCACCAACCCTGGTAAGCCAACACTTTTGAGATCAGTCAATAAATGCTTCTGGTATTGACTTATATGCTGCCCCTGTCTTCATGTTGTTGCTGGACATATCTTTTTTTAAATGTGTGTAGGTCACCTAAATCATCAGAAAAATTGCCCCTCCTGAGAATTTTTTCAGGAGCCGCCACTGCTTACAAGTAGAAAATATAACTCAACTGACTGAACATGACATGTATTTCAATATGATTTAAATAGGCCTATAGCCTAGGGTACTGTTTATATTTTAATGCAATCATCTTGATTTTCATTTGAAGCATATTTTTACATGTGGCTTGTTTGTATCAATTGCAAAGATATTGGCAATGTTGTGTGTGTTTGTCAACTTTGCTTTGAAGTTATCAGTGGTCAAATAGCGAGGGATAAACCATGTGTTTCTATGTTTACGCGGGAGGGCAAAAAAGCATCTAACAAAGCACCAGTGACCGGTAATGCAATTTGCGGGAAAACATGTTATAAAATGCGCACCATACATGTGAGCGGTTTCATGGACAGAGATGGAAATATCCATTAGAAATTTAGACAGAGGGGATAATTGTAATTATTTTGCACTATAGCCTATTTATTGCCTTACCTCCATAACTTGCTACATTTGCACACACTGTATATATATTTTCTGTTGTATTTTTTGACTTTGTTTTTTTACCCCATATGTAACTCTGTGTTGTTGTTTTTATCGCACTGCTATGCTTTATCTTGGCCAGGTCGCAGTTGTAAATGAGAACTTGTTCTCAACTGGCTTACCTGGTTAAATAAAGGTGAAATAAAAAATAAAATAAAAAAAAATGACGTCGGTTGCTAGACAATGAAAGAAAGTTGAAAGAAATCCAATAGAACAGAACGCATATTAGGAAGTCTTTATAAAATAATTGCCTCCAAGTTTCTATGGTGGGATTTTGGCTATATGCTACTTTGAAGCAAGGTAAGACAAGTAAAACGTTCAGGTTTCAAACAATTGAGGAACAGGACAAATATAGTGATGCTAATGATAGACCAAACTGTCTTCTGGTAGATGGAAAGGCTTTCCCAAAAACCTTCTCAATTAAATGTTAACTAGCTACAAAGTAGCCTATGCCTATCTGGCAGAATGATATCATGATTATCTGCCTCAATCCAGTGGCCATTTGTTTTGCAAACTCCATCTCATGTGCTACAGAAACACTGCTAACCAAACAACAGTGCTAGGTGCTTGCCCACTTGAATTGAAGGGTAACCAGAACAACAAAAAAACATTCTTGGATTTTTCCCAGACCTCAAAAGTGGTCTCCTGATGTGGTTTAAACATTGTTATGGACTTAGAACATCAAATCTTATTTTTTGTGACTTTTATTGTGATTTTTTACATTTTTGACTCAGTTGACAGCCTCATTTATCTGTTTCAATAGTAAGCCTACTTTTAGCCTACAGCTTGGGTTGGCCTGACTGTGAAAGACCAATATGGGATTTATAATTTTAGGTCATTCAGAGTGTATGTCACTGTTTCTCATATAATTTTTCACACAGGGCACCTTTCCTTCGTCGGGCGGGCCGTTTGGGAAATGTTTAGCAAAATTAGAGTATACCCACTTCTCCACTGTACCCAAGCATACATAACAGTAGGTGGGAAAAAACAAAGTAGATTTTTAGTTCCACTGTCTTGTCCTGTGCTGTTGGTATTGCTCCTATTGTTTATTCTAACTACCCCCATATATGTCTGAATATCAAATCCTAAAGTGAATGTGTGGTCACATTGATCTGATTCTCATGTTCAAAATCTGATACTGATTCTGACAGGCTACAGGCACTTCATATTACATACATTAGGCAGAGTCAAGCCAATCTGACTATATTGAACAGGTTGAATCTTATGGTAAA